CCCCTCTCCTTCGCCTTCGTTTCCTGACGACTCCGCGTATGTTGAATGGGTTCGAACGGGGGACAGATGCTGTAAACGCATCCGTCTCTTACACACGGACTTGCCCGGGGACTAGTGCTACAACTAGGCGGCTTTTTCTTGGGCATTCCCGAGATCCTCATTTTCTGTCGTGATAACAAATATCCTATACAAATAAATGGTCCCAAACACAGGAGCTCTCTAGAACAAAACTCCTGCAACTGCAATTACTGAAAAAGAGGAAATCCTTTCTGGATCTACGTGAATGACTCCACCAGCTGCCAGTGAGACTGCTCGGGACAGTGGGAGCTAGTAGGGTGGGACTACAGAAGCGACTTGTTGAAACTCTTAGAGGAACACCAGGCAATCATTGCCCTGAAAGCCTGAAACAAAACTCACTGATGTATGATTGTTTATTTTAGAAAAGCAACCCAAGAAGTCACGCTCCAGACAGGAACAAAAAGGGAACAACCACCCAGATGTTAGAACTCGAAATGCATTTGCCATGTGGTTGTAGGGGAAGTTTTCACCCGCTTAGTTGCTGAACAGAGGGAAAACTCTTCTTTAGCTAGCCTGGGCTGTGCACTGCAATATTTCAGCTTCACTTGCTACAGCACTAGCTAATATATTTAACTGTATTAAACAGCGTTAAATAAATTCTGTATCTATAGGATTCTAAAAAGCCTAGAATGGAAGGATTCTGCAAAGATGGTGCTATGACATGCCTCTCTTCTTTCACCCTCACTTTGCTGCCTGTGCTCGACAGCTCTCTGAACTCTGCTGAAGGAACCGGGCAGCGACAAGCCTTAAAAACTCATCTTTTAGCAGGAGTGAGCTTGAACAACATGGAAGGAAACAAATATGCAAGAGGAGTAAAATGAGCATTGGGTTTTTTTCAGCTTATTCAGTTATCGGTCTTTCAATCATCTCCATTGCTTTCTTAGAAGACTGACGAGCTTGAAACTCTGTACCTCGACCCCCTGGGCTTCCTCAATGAGCCTCCTGCTGACGGAGCGCAGGGCCTCCCGTGGCCACTCCTGAAACCAGTCAATAGTGGTGCAGTTAACTATGGCTGGGAACTTCCGAGCTCGCGCTCGCAGTGTGGCACCGGCGGGAGAGAAACACAGAATGATCTGCGGAGAGGCGGGAGGGGAAACGGAGAGAAAAGAATTACATGGCAAGTCCAGGCGATCAAAGCAAGGCATGCAACGAACCGTGGCCCTGTGCCGGCCAGCGCACAGCTGAAGGCTCCAAAACAAATTTGGCAGCTAATAGACTTCGTCAGCTAGGATCTTACCTTGGGCAAACAGGTTTTACCCCCTTTCTACTGTACAAACACTGTGTACTTGCAGCTTCCTTCCCATCTCTCCACGTTGGTATCAGTTACTCTGTTTGATAGCTATAAATAATAATGTAGCCACAGGGACTGGCTGGCACGCAGACAGCCAAGAAGGTGCATGTTCAGCTGGTCACGGTGACACAAACCCAGTTCTTGTTTCCAAATCTATTGAAGCCACTTCCTGCCACTTTAATACGCACTGCAAACTCGTTAAAAGATATGGGAAGAAAAGGAGATCTGGACCTCGGTTTGCATGTGAAGTTTTAGGGACTGCACTTTACAAAAGTGGAAAGGGATGTCCAAACAAGGGTAGGCTAAAATAGTCAAAGAAAAAGAAATAAATCTGTAATTGGCTGTTAGTATCACCGGGCCTACCCAAAGCAGCTCACATTTGGGAAGGAAGGATTATTCTAGTCTCTCAGTTGTATTTATGGATATATTTACTGCCATTAACATGTGTTTTGGCCATTGTATTTGCTTTTAGGTCATTAGCAAAATGACAGACATCAGGCTGTTAAGACCGATCTGGAGTCTCTCCTATATGCTTCTCATGAAATGAGCTATTTTTGTTGTACAGAGCTTCTCAAACCATACAGCATCAATATCATTAATTCCAATAGAAAATATCCAAATGGTATCAGAACAGACTATCATTTCCACAACAGCCACAAGAGCCAGGCCAGAGGCCAGTCAGGCATGCTAGGGAAGTGACAGGTTTATTCTGCCTCTGGAGTAATTGGGAATTGACATTTCTTGTGAAGAAAAAAACTGAATGAAAAAGGAAGAAGAGCAGAAAGTTGAAAGAAAATAAGAAAAAAAAGGAGCGAAGAGAGGAGGAGGTTGACCTGGGACAATACTTCACTGAGTTTTAAAGCAGTTAGAAAGGAGAGAGAAAGCAATGAGTCAATAGTAACAGTGGAAAAAGCTTCTATGGTATCTGGAAAGATTACACAAAAAATAGAAAAGACTTGCCACTATCTCATATTTTCTGAAATTACATCTTTGCACTGGAAAACACAAGACAACAATTTCTGCAATTAACCTTTAGTTATGAGCAAAGATGAAAATGTTTCAGTAGAACTAAGTCAAGAAAATCTTTTACCATTTTTCAGAAAAACCTCTCGAAGAAACTGTTTTCTGGGACATTTTGTAAAGCTTGGATTTTATGCCGAACCACAGGGTATGTCCTCTTTTTATTCCCACTCTTTTTCACAAATAAATTATGACATGGCCTCTGGTCACAAGCACTGGTCAGGCTGTATCTCACAAAAAGAGAATTTCTTTCTCATGGTTCCACAAATAGAGTGGAATTTTGAGATTATTGAAGGCTTCAGATCAAAGACACTATTTTCAGAAGGATATATGATGTGGCCAAGTGTAACGGCAAGAAAAGCACAAGTAGGCCCTTCTTTTGGGAGCCATGGTGGAAACAGAGGAGGTGAAAGGCAGATGATGTGTGAAACAATCTTAAAAGAAAAAAAAAACCACCTGAAAAAGGGTAAGAGGAAGAAGCAAGAAAAGACAAACAGAAACTATGATAATCTTCCATGTTGTGACAGACAGGAAGAGAAATGATGCAGACTAAAATACTAAATGGGGCATAAAATACAGAAGAATTCACTGAAATCTTTACTGGTGAGTGAACCATAAATATTAAAAAAAATTAGAGCCCCCAAGCCCATGCTTTAGACGGCACTATGAATTGACTGCATGTTCCATCATTTTTTAATCCATTTACTTCTTTATATTTCTAAAGGGAGGGTATTCACTAGTACCTATTCCATTTCCCACATGCTTATCAGTTTCCTAGAGCTACAAGATCTCATAGTATTTTTTCTTTCTCTCGTGGAATGGGATGTAGAGGACTATTTCATGTTAAAACAGTTTTAAATTGCTGCAGTTATTCTGGTCCCCCTACGGATCTAGTTTATTGTTAAATAGAGAAAAATACCTCTCTTATATGAATCTAAAATTCTTCTAAGCACAGGCAATTTGCACATTTGTCTAGGAAGTACTTGAGAATGCGTCAGCAAGAGAAACCACTGGTTTTAAATCACTTATGGCCTTTGACTCCTGCAAGAGTTACAAACAGCAGTGCATGTTCTCATATGTGCAAGATGATAATGTACTCCCCCATTTTCCAGAATTTAGGCAGAAACGTAGACACCCATGCAAAAACACAATGGAGTCCAGGTTGTTCAGGGATGTTACAAAGACAGGGTGATCAGCAAGTTGGTCTAAGGTACAGAAGAAAATGTGTTTAGCATGAAGAGGCAAATGGCAGAAATGTCCATGTACTAATCCATTCTAGGCAAGCGATGAAAACTACACTAAAACCATACAAAGACCACAGAAAGATCTTGGAATTTACAAAAAAATTTTATCAGGCTGATGAGAAAGAAGGGCAAACAGCAAGGAAACAATCAAAACAATACAAGAATTAATGGTCTCCACCTCAAAACTCTGAATCAGAGAAGAAACGTACATGAAGAATCTGCTAGGTCTGTTCCACGATTGTCAAAGACCTTGGACACTTCTGTGAATTTTCTGAAATCTCTTATCTGTTTGTTACAGCATGTATCCTTCAATTAGACATGCTTTCTCCCTCTCATTCATGTCACCTCATTTTCTGATAAAATTCTATGTTCAGCCATAATATCAGAGGCACGGTGAACAATATTGTTGCTTGGGGCACCTCATTTTCTCCTCTCTAGCAGCCACCGTCTCAGATCTGCCTACCATCCCTGCTACAGGAGCAGCAGTAATGGAGTGCCTAGCGATATCTGTCCCCGCTCCCATGTGCTTCTCACAAGTGCCCTTGCTTTAGCAGTGGTGCCAAATTGAATCTGTCACACCTCCAAAGCTGGAAACCCTATAGTCTTGCTAGAAGTTACATCTTTTACATCCTCCTACATCGCTCATGTTTGGACTTAACTCTAAGTACTGGACTGCAAGAAGAGTCCAAATCAAAGTCTCGGACTATTCGCCAAACACAAATCAGAATTTAGTGTTTTCCTTAGTCTTGTACCCTAAGTAATATTTTATCTTCCCTAAATATTAAACAATTGTTTGTATGAAATTATTACTATTTATCCCCTATTTATATCAATCTTATATTGAATTTTAGGGGAGAAGGTGATCTCTCTATCCAATGTCATTTGTTAAGAGTGATTTAAAAGAACTATTTCTATCTATAAGGAACTGCATCAGTTTACATGAACTGCAGATCTCTGAGAAGATAATACTGACCTTTCAGGATTGTTTACTTTTATCCTAGCATCTAAACTCTGGATTTACTAAGTCATAACTATACTCATCTGTTCTCTCCTTGCCCTTGGCCACCCCTCAAAAAAAATGTCTGAAAGTTTTAAAGAGTACATTATAGTAGCATGTTCTAATCTTTATTCTAATCTCATGTTTATCCATCACAGCACTACTGGAGCTCATGCAGATAACCACAGGACACAAAAGCCTCTCAACAGTGAACTTCCATAACAAATAAGTACAGAAGAGTAGGTGAACAATGACGAGTGAAGACAGACAGGAGAGAAACGGTTGAAGCAACAGGGCATCTAGCACAAGTTGCTAAACATGGTAAGCGAGTCCTAGTGAAAGTCTGTGAAAGTCCTACCAGGATTATTTGGCTGCAAAGCCCCAACAAGAAAAAGGAAATATACCTGAGTAAGTATCCAGGACTCAACTGTTGTAACATCCCTGAAAACAGCTGGTTTAAAGGCAGATGAACTTAGTCTATATGAAATACAGACACACCAACCTTTTGCTTGCAATGCAGACATATTAAAACACCTAGCTGTTGTATCACAAGTACAGATTACAAAGCAAAAGGTAACACTTGAAAACAACTGCTATGAAGGCTAAGAAGAGAGGGACTAGATGAGAGGATCTGCAAAAGCTAATAATAAAGAGAACGGCAGCAAATCAAGAGTTCCAGAAACCTTCAGAAAATGAAGAGAAACAATTAAATCCAATGTAAAAGTAGCAGCAGGTAAAATTAGTTACTTACACACAAACTTTGTAGATTATCATGTCAGGATGAAGTTTAGAAGAACAATTTCTCAATCTTTTAATAAATTACTTCTTAGAACAGCTAGTTCTAGAACTCCAATTTAAACACACTATTTAAAATTTCCACTCTTTTTCTCTAAAACACAAAGCTACAACTGAGTGATTTTTACTGTGTTGTCTTGTTAGGCAGGAAATCCCAGCACAGGCCTAAATATAATGTAACACCTTAATTAGATAACTATGTCTTTGTTAATTTTTCTTTGTGGACAATAAAAAATTGGCTACATCACATGCTTGAAAAAGTAGTCATAAAAAGCGGGTAACCAGATTGTCACCATGGCATAACTTTTCTATCTCTTTTAGCTTTGGTGAAGTTTGGTAAAATCACATCAGGCAAGGATTTGATGCAGCATGTTTTCAGAGTTCATTTGCATTCCCGCCAGTGAGTTCCCAATATTATAAAGGACCTTGTGCACTGCCTGCTTTGCACACAGAATAATGAAGATGTCATGTGATCTGATAACAAGAGAGCTGTGAAGAAAAATGAGTAATTATTACTGACTACATTTTGAGCAGTCTTTGCTTAAGGAAGGAGGTCATATTTTGAAAATGTTTATCTTCTGCCCAGGCCATAAATGACAGTCTAATTTGACAGAGGGGGGAAAAAAAAAAGGAATAGGAAATGCTCCAAGAAATGCTTCATTTCTTGCAAGACAATCACGATATAAATATTACAGTGAGGGTATTTCATATAGTAATAGAAAAACTTATGAAGTTCTCCAAGCTAGACTCATCCCTTTCTTTGAAAGCAATGTGGATTGAGAGGGACTACGCAAGAGTCTTTCACCTGACGTTTTTAAGATTTAAATTTGCAAAATTGAATAAGAAAGATAATAAGTGTAGAACTGGTATCATGTGAAATTAACATCAACTTCCATGTAGCATTCACTCCTCCTAAGAACACAAAAGACTTCTTTTCTCAAATGTCCCATTTGAGCCTCACACTCACGTGTTATTTTCACTATAGGTGTCTTTAACGCTGTATTTTTCAGCTCAGCCTACTCCTGCTTATCTCAGGTATGCAAGCTCTCTAGGTTCACAGAGTGCTTCAAACGGAGAAAGACAGACAACAGTGTATCTTAATACTAATGAACTAAAGAGTGCCTTGGCACATGCTTGACCTCTGGTCTGACAGGGCCTTATTTAGGTGTTAGCGCACTACATTTGCATGGTTTTCCCATGTGAAACAAAGCAGCACTACAGCAGGAGTAAGGAGCTGTACAGACCAGGAATCATTCCTAACCAGCTCTATGCCACCGCCATCATTTTGTGAGCAGAGCAAGGGAAAAGCTAAGCCACATGGATGCCAGCCATGTCACGCCACTAGTTCTCAGGACTACAAAACATACCCCATAAATTTACTAATACAGATGTATCCTTAAAAATAAGCTAAGTACTCAAGAAGAGATGGCTGACATCCAAATGAGAAAACCCTGGAGCTTTCCATAGAGAAACCGTAACTCTGGAAGAGCTTGCCAACTGCAGAAGCAGCTGTTTTGTGTGCTACAGAACTTAGAAATCCGCGATACTTTCTTGGCTGTCTAATAACGTAATTGAGTCTTCATTCAATGGGAGGGCAGTAACTGTGTCTGTCTGTCCCTGATCCACCTGTCTCCTTAGCGACAATTGGTTGGTGAGTTCAGAAGTTAGTTGGGAGGTGAGATTGATCAAGTGATAGACAGCACAATCAATTCAACCCTTATTTCCCATTGAAACAGACAAATATAATCACATCTGGAGTTAGCGTTAGTTTAACATAGAACCAGAAGCCCTAAAAACATTGTTCTCTTTGGCTAGGAGTAAAGCAGTTGTGCTGATAGGCATGTGTATTTAAGCCCTCAAAGGAAAAACCACAAGAGCTGGCCAAAAGCTGGGCTGTGATGAGGCTGCACAAGTTCTTTGTGGATTCACAGACAAGAGAGATGTCCTGTCAGTGGTGAAACAGACCACAAAGAAAATGCTAACATGTCCTGATGAACAAGGACTTGGAAATGATTTAGAAACAAAGATTGCCTGTGGTGATGCAGGGCACCTGCCCTGCCTATATTTGACATTAATTCTGGCTGAAGCATGGAACTGCTTTACTGCTGAGTTCCTTAGAAAATGGGGAGCCAACTAAATGCTCACAGGACTATGCAAGGAGGAGACTGTTATAAGAATGTAATTACTAAAGTAGTCCAGCCAAGTCTGCCTATTGGAAGGAAACCAGAGAAACAGAATTCCCCTAAAATCAGCAGACTTAGTTCTTAACACTGGGACTTCACAATGGCCACCGAGGGACTGTCAACTCTGAAACATGAGGAAAATACACAATGAGGAAACTCATTCAAGAAATGGAAGCAAGTATTTGCAGTAGAGATTCGCAGCTCATGAAGAAAACTGCCTGCACAGCACTAAGTAAGAGAGATTCAGTTCAGAAGAAAAGCCATATGGCTTTAGAATACATGGTAATGTTTAAGAGCACTCGGGAAACTGAGATGAGCTAGTAGGAACCGTAGAACTTGGAAAACATGCAAAGATGCAATGTTGTAAAGAGTATGTTTACTGAAAAGAATACATTTAAGAATATGTTTGAGTAGGACATGGGTTGCAAGGCATTTAGGCATGGTGTTCCCATTTTTGGGAAAATGTTGAAAGGTTGCCATGACCAAAAGAATAAAATAAAATCAGAGAGAGCTCAGGAGACTGCAGGACTGCCTGTCCATGCCTCATATCCATGATTTTGAGAAATAGTTGTTTCTTCTGGCCTTTACTTTTATAAAAAATTTTAGTAATGTGCAGAGTATTTAAGAGTGATTACTGCACAGATATGTGGGATATTGAAAAACTTCTGGAGCTCCAATAAATCACTGTGAGTCTTAGAAAATTCTCAGCCTATGCAATGCCATACCTTAGCACTGTCAGTAAATTACCATTCACAATGTTTCGCCATCAGCTTTGTTTGCTTAAGCAGCATTCTTCCTTTTTAATTTATTTCATCATTCATCACAAAAGCTTCTGAAATCCTCAGGTGTATATACGTCCTAGCACACACTTCAGTTGTAGGCTCATGTTTTATAATGGTGCAATCCACTGTCTTTAACTGACATAAATTTGCACCTACCTACATGGCATGTTCTCCATACATTAACAGCAGAATTGATTGCAAGTTCCAGACTGAAAACAAAGAAAACCAACCCAACCCAAAACCAAAGAGCTACGTTAGTTCAAAGAATTGCACTGGTTAGTTTGGGTTCCAGAGCTACAGATTCCTCATCATAAACAGAACTGTATGGTATAAGATGACGAGTGAGCACAAGCGAAAAATGGCTTAATGTAGAATGTTAGGGTTTTAAAATTAAATTGAAAAATGAGACTATATCACTTCAATAAGCTTTAACATTCTGAAACTGTCTTAAATTCTCCCTTTTGTTCTCTTTCACATTTTATTAGTCTTTTATTTTTCACATCTAGGGAAAGGAGGTGATAGGTCACCCAGCGCTGACATACAGATATCTGCCAGTGTGTTAACTCATGAAGTTTATGTCTCCTTTGGTACTAAAATGTTTCTACTTTGCTTCCTTGCAACATGAATAGGTATCTCCTGTTCTTGCCTCCAGAAGTGCTAATTTGCACAGTGGGGGACTGGCGAAATGGTTGCAAGGTAAAAAGCATTTGAAAGCTGGCTTTCAAAAACCCCTTAAAAAAAAAGAGAGAAGAAAAAGAAGAAATTGTTGGGGGAACAAGGAAAACACAAAGGGAAAGCAATGAGAAAGAAGAAAATGAAGAGAGAGATTAGACATCATATTTTTTTCCTGTCCTTTCTTAAAAAAATGTACACAAATGCAATAGTCATGAAACAGAGATAAACAGCACTGACTAGAAATATGTATACAGAAGGTAAGCACCACTATTGACCATGTCACTGAAGTCTGAAAAAGTGAGAGCAATACACAATATGTCACGCTAGACCCCATAAAAGTCTCCACTGGTCTTTAAGTTACAAAAGAAATTTGCAAAGGGACAGAAGTGATGGCAACAAAATTAGAGATAGGAGAGAACAGCAGCAAAGATAATGCAGGATAGGAAAAAGAGAGAAGATGCAGAAAAAAAAAGACAAAGTGGTATGTTATAAAGTGTAAGAACTTGGATAAAAATCTCATAACCAAATAGGAATGGCTTTTAGATCAGAGGTAGTTAAACACTTCAGAAGAAGCAGAAAAAACCCACACAAAAGACTACTGTGAAATAATCTGCTATGGGAAGGGTCTTCTCATCCCCAATCAAACAGATCAGTATGGGGCATATATTCCTTTCAAAACACTCTTTTTCTAAAGAGTTAATTATTTTCAGACTTATAGGCTACACATATGTTTAGATGATGTATAAAATTGAAGTCTGCATAAACCAAAAGTTCCCAGAGCTTCCACTCCAAAATCAGCGTTCCCAGCTTCTGCTTTCCAGCTTTCAGGAACATTACCTCTAAAATGGAGTTCTAAGAGAGATACTTGTTGCACTTGCAGTATCATATTAATGTGTATTGGTAAACAGATTTTGACCTGAAGAGAGCTACCTAGATATTTTTATTTTCCCAGTTTTAAATGGCATAGGAAAAGTAGAAAGGATTAACATTTCCTGTGAAATTTCAGTGCAAACATTTAAGAGTTGACTACACAGACAGAATTACTGTATGTGTAATTAGGGAACATATTTACAATTGCACTAACCGCACCACTAACTCCTCATCAGCATCTCACTTCTCTCTGAAGTGCATCATTATATTCAAAACACAAGACCATGAAACTAAGATGCAAAGCAGCTATGTGACTTTCCTATGAACAGGCAGGAAGTCACTAGCCAGATCTAGGAGTAAAACTTGGCGTACATCAAGCATCCACATAAAGAAGGCTATTACAGGGGTAACATGAGAGAGGCAAATTCAGTGTGACACATTGTAGAGTATGTCTTTCAAGCAAAGTATGCCAACATGCACAAGGTTATAAGAAAATATGTTGTAACTTTAACCAGCTTGGTACTGCCTCTCTCCCCTGAGATGCACCTTACTTTTAACTGTAGCCGCACTCTACTCAAAAAGAACCTCCGGCAGCTTTCTCTGGTGTCCATCAGGCCTAGGGCTCAGACTTCTTTTCTAACTCCTGTAACTATGCCCTCCACGTCTTCATCATTCAACAGATCTGGGATCTCTCCTGCAAAAAGACAAAGGAGTAGTTAGGAGAAGGCTTACACAACACAATGTAAGAAATAATCTTGTACATGGTATTTAGCACAATATAGTTTAGGCACGTTAACTAGAGCTATGCTACGATAATAGATGGATCAAGCAACAAAACAATTTCCTCCTGTTCCCCACATCTTTTTACCTAAAAATAGTAGTTCTTTTTACAAGGGAGAGGAAACAACATTGTGTTTAAAAGACAAAAATATTTGCCCTGATAGAAAGTTCACTTATAAATTATGTATCCCTCAGAATAGTGGTTACTTTTTTTACAGGCTGTTAGAAAATTGTTTTCCAATCTAGTTGCAAAAATAAATAATAATTTTAAAAAAAATCTTTCAAAATGCTCTCCAACTGTACAGCATGGTATCATTCCCATTTTTCTTCCACTCTATCTCCAGATCCCCATGTTCAGAATCCAGATTCTCTAATTTTCAAAACATGGGTGAAACTGCATTGCTGTTACATTTGTGCAGTCATGAAGATATTGCTTGAAGTCAGTGAAATCATATCAAAGCAAACATGGCATAGTCAGAGAGATTCCCATCTCCCCCCAAATCAAGGCATTTAATACACGATAAGCTTTAGCAATTCTTCTCCTCAGTGGGCAACGCTTTCTTAAGCAAGTTAGACTCAATGCTAAAGTTGGATGGTTTGACTTGGCCTCTCTAAAAGCCCCCTACAAATACCTGAAAGAGAAATAATCTCTATAAAGTTCAATGAAACCACAGATCATTTGTCATTGGAAGAGATCTTTCAAGAAATGTGTTGGTATAATCACCTGATTCCAACAAGTCATTAATCTGCACAAGAGAGCATTCATCTAGAACCTGGGCATCTGTCAGCAAAAACACTGTGGGCATGTTCTTGGCACCAGTTTTGATGTACAAACTGGCAGGATCTACCTGTAAGGAAAGGAGGCAATCACTCATATTCTGTTAAAACGTTCATACAGAAAAAGCATGAAATGCTTGTTAGTGAATGGTAACTCATTGCTGACTTACTTTTTCCAGTTTATTTACACATTGCTAATTTGCTGCATAAAATCCAAAGGGAAAAGCAGTATGCCTCTGCTTTCCATATCAAACACTGATGTTTTAACATGACCTAGTGGTAAACATCAAAACAGACTACTAATCAAGGAAATCCCCCATGAATGTACTAAAAAAGGAATATTGCACCCATGAAAGTCCCCATCGAGAACAGCCATAACCATACCAATAATGTCTGGGAATTGCACTGAAGAGTCAGATCCATTTTAAACTCTTATTTCTGCAAGTTTTTTTTTTTAGTGAATTGGTTTAGGAGAGCTTTCTTATGTTAAAAAAAAACCCAAAACACACACAAACAAACAACAAAAAAAACCCTGAGTAGTGCACTGGTGCACTGTTACTTTTCCTCACACATGGGTGGCCCAGAGAGAGACATAGCATGGAATTGTCGTGCTAGCAGTAGTACAAACATGGAATGCTTTTTTGCATTGGGTTCCAGAAAAAAAACAACCCACATCAGCTGCATTCAAGTGTGGTCACATTTGAAACATGGATTAAGGTCAGTGCTGGCTAATACGAACTAGTTGCCTCATGACCTAGCAGAAAGCAAATCCTTAGGCTTGTTAACAGAGGATTACAAGTTTCCCTGCTTGGAAATATTCCCTCCTTCCCTGTGTGCTCACATAGATCGGGCATAGCCTTGCAAGGTCTCAAAGTCTGTAAGCCTGATAGAGCACCTCAACTCAACTATATTCCTTACCTTTGCCTATGACCAGTTTAAATGATTAAATGACTCGCATGCAACAAGGACAAAATTTTGCCTGGTGTTCATCCACAAAAATTTTATTCCACTATATCAATACACGTGCAATGACATGCAAAAATTTGTAACAAACGGCTAACTTTAAATACCAGAACT